AGACCACTCACAGCCCCCCACCCACCCTGCCCCTCGCAGCCCCAGACCCTGCTGCTCTGCTCTCACCTGGCTCGCAGACAGGCACCTCCTTGCCAGCTTCAGGGCTCACCCACGTGTGATCCTCGTCACACTTGTACGTGCCTTTGGAGGGAAACCGGAGTCAGCATCCCCGCCCTGCAGGGCGGTGGAAGGGCCCCACAGCCAGTGAGCCACAGAGTTCCTTGTGCCTCCCCAGGGCTTGGGGGAGCAGGGGTAGCTACTTGTACCAACCCCGTGGGGGTGGGGGAGGCTGCATCATCCAGCATTGGGGCAGCCCCATGCATCCCCTGGAGCCAGGGACAAGCCCCATCCCTGGGTGCTGTGCCCGTGCTGTGTGCCTCACCGTCACCAGAGCCACGCAGCTGGTAGTATGGGTCGCAGCGGTACTTGATCAGGTGCTCCACGTAGCCATGTTCAATCTCTGCAGGCTTTGCACAGCTCCACTCTGCAGGCAGAAGATGCTCAGCTGGCCCAGAGGACCCAGCCCAGGACATTGCCCCCACCTCCAGCAGGTCCCTCCCCAGTCCTGTCTTCCCTGCCCCACGCCTGCTCCCGGCTTCGTCCTGGCCCCAGTGCTCCCACCCTTGCCCTGGAAGGTACCGGTGGCAGTTGCAGTCTCCAGGACAGTCCAGGCCAGGCCAGCAACCAGCAGCACTGCAGGTCTGCAGGGAAGAGAAGGCACACTGAGCAGAGGGCTCCTACCCCCCTGCTCCCAGTCTGTGGGCTCCACCAGGACCAATGCCCTGTCCTGAGGGCTCCCTCCCCAGGAGGGCAGAGGGCCAACCCCGCACCCCTGGCGCTGCCCATCAGACACAGCCTGGAGAAGTTGCCTGGGCCAGACCCGGACCCTGCTGCTGTGGAGGACACAGCTGCAGTGTTGGGACCCGGAGCGCTTCCAGGACCAACATGGGTCCTGGCACAGCCCACAGCAGGGCCAAGTCCTCAGCCAGGCAAGCAGACAGACACAGCACCAAGCATGTGCAGGGACACATCGATGTTGCTCACCCCATGCTAATAGCTCTCTCTCCTCACAGCAGCCTCCTTCTGCGGGTCAGTGCTGTTCAGGGCTCCCTCCTCACGCCTTTTATTGCCACCTCCCTCGCCCTGGTGCGGCCCCATGTGCTCCAGACCTCCTGACCCTGCTGTATACAGCCAGCACCTTTCCCAGCAGAAGGAGGACAAACAACCCCACCTGGCTCACAGCCGGCCTGGCAGAGGCTCCCGGGAAGCCAGCGCGCCAAGAGTTTCCGGGATTTTGCAGCTACAAATATGCAGGGAGGGATCCGGCTGCAGACGCTGGTGCCCTGGCGCTGTGACCCAGCTGAGGTTCACAGAAAGCAGAGCCAGACCCGAACCCTGCCCCCTGCAAAACTGCCCTGTGCCACCACCTGGAGCAGTCCCTGGCGGGGTACCCGGCAGCCCCACACGGTGCAGGCAGCCACCCCAGTGCTGGCAGGTGAAGCTGGGGCACAGGAGCCGAGTGACATCCCATCCTGTGCCTGACTCTGCCCACAGCTGGGGCGCACCCTGCCAGCCACCCCACAAAGCTGAGGCGTAGTGGGGCTCGGCGCCGCTAGTGCCCTGGGCAGTGCCAGTCCAGCCAGCCGAGGGGTGCAGCACGTCCCATGCCAGCTTGCTGCAGGCTCCAAGGGACTGCAGCCAAGCCAACCTCTTCCCACAAGCACCCACCCCTTCCCGCCCAGCAGGCTCCAGCCCTGTGTCCTGGCAGCCTCTGACCCCTCGGGTGCAGGTTGTTTGTCAGCAGAGGCAAGGGCCCAGCCCAACTTTACGGGAACTTGTAGCAGCAATCGCTGGCCAGTGCCCAGCTGGATGTCGCTGGCCAGCAGCAAGGGAGCAGGGCAGAGCACATCAGCCTGCTCCAACAAGTGGAGTCTGCTTCCAGCAGGAGCATAACCAAGGGGCAGCACGGAGAGGAGGGGACAGGCACCCACCCTCTTCCCTATGCCAGGGTGCCTCTGTCACAGTGAGGCCACCCCAAAACTGTCTGGAGCATGTGGGGCCAGCCCCAGCCCTGAGTCACTGAAGCGTGGCCTGCTGGGGGTCTTGCCAGTGCCCCTCCTGCCCCTCAGAAACTCCAATTTCTCAGGCTCAGGAGGGACATCTGTGTCTGGTCTGACACTCCAGAAGAGGGCTTTCCCATCCCGTGCAAGCTTCTTCCCATCTCATGGGGTACCTGTACCCCTAAATAATGCAGGGCTTAAGATCTCTGACCCAGCACCAGTCATACTCGTGCAACCACGCTTGAAACACAGAAGGCTAGAGTCCAGCACAGGGACACATCAGGGTTTAACAGCTGTGATCCATGAACCATGCCAGCACTTAAGAGAGGTGCTGTGGCATTTGATGATAGCAGGCTGAGATAGCACTGTCCCACTGCAACAGGCTTGTCCCTCCGCAGGAGACTGCCATGCCGTGCCATGTCCTGGCAGGGGGGAAAAAAGCAACACGTGACTGTGCCTTGGTGCCCACTCAGCAGCCTCAAGGTTAGCTCGGACAAAGGACTGCCTGCAGGAAGGTGGGGGAAGCTGCCCCAGCCTGCCTGTGGGGCACAGGCTGCAGCCCATGCACCGGGCTACAGCAGCGCAGGGCCATGCTCGAGGCCAACGCCGCCAGCAACTGCTGTGGCTGAATGTCTCCAAGCCACAATCACGAATCAGCTGCAGAGCACAGACAAGAGGGCCATCAACAAGGTGAAACTCAAGCTCACACTCCCACAGGCATGACAGCCACCTTCAGACTGGGAGAGCAAGTGCCTCCCAGGCCCTCTCCAGAGAAAGCACATCAAAGCCTTGGCCCAATGGACCAGGTCACATCCCTGTTAGAGCAGTAATAAGCACCACCTGCCCAAAGCAGAGAATCTAGGAAATGAACATGCTGGTGCAGAGGGCTGTGGAAGTGGGAGAGCAGGTCGGCGACAGCCCTGATGTGAGCCGAGGGCCACTGAGAGTGGGGTCAGCAGTCCCGCTCCTCCTGTAAACAGGTTTGGTGAAGTGCTGTGATGCAATCCTGCTCTGCAGGGTGGATTATGAGAGGCTGCAGAGGGAACACAACGTCCAAGCCAAGCCCTGTTACTCAAGAAAGGCCTGAGATGACTGCAGTGAGTCCGGGGTAAAGCAGCAGTCAACGCCAGAGGCCCCAAAGACAAAACCAACAGCCTCCAGAAAACAAACAGGCCTTTTTCTAACAAGTGATGGCATAAATGCAGCTGTCTCCAAACATCTACATACTGGCAGCAAAGGGAAGAAACGGCACCCAGCGCCTCCTAAGGGCCCAGCCTCTGGCAGAGGTCGCTGTGAGGGGAGCCCTGGTGAGCTTTGCGTGGATCCATCCCAGAGCCCGGCCACCTGTGGCTTCTACCACCAGGAAAAGATGCACTGACTGGGAACAACACAAAGAGAGCTGATCCCGCTCAGCTGAGGAGAGCTGGGCTGCGTCCCTCTGACCCAAGGGGTGTCTCCAGAGCAGCACACGGACCAGGTGAGCCAAACATTTATTGACACTCGGGCAGGACCCAGGGCCTGCAGGTTTGTTACAGGACCGCATGCAGCGAAGGGAGGAGGGCAGGGAGGGCACAACCCGGCTGCAGTGCAGGAGGACCAAGCACCAGCCAGACAGCAGGCAGCACGGGCTGCAGGGTCCCTGGCAGAAGGGACATCCAATACACGCCAGGGAAGGCGTGCCCTCCACAGGGAAGCGCTGCAGCAGGAGCCAGAGACAGGACTGAGCACAGCCTGCAGGGCTGTCCCCTCAGGGGCCTTCCTCACCACCCAGCAGAGCCTTACCCAGTGCTGGTTTCTGCTGGGGAGCCCAGCCCACAGGAAAGCCAAAATATGGCCCTGGACAGCAGCACCAGTGTGGAGGCCCCCTCCCCTGCTCCCCCACCAGTGCTGCCCCAGCCTCACCCATCACTGACCCTTCTCAGGGGTTGGGGCCAGGAGCTCGCCTCAGTCCCAGCCTGTCCAGCACTGGAAGCGTCAGACCTGTCCCTGCTTGGCCATGGCTCCTCCCGGCTAGACCTCGGTTCTGCGGCGTGTCAGCACCGGTGATCTGCTCCAACTGCCTCCATGACGTTCTTGAACCCCTGCTCCCTAACCAGGGACAGCGTGTGATGGCTGGGCCGGCCTGGCGCTGCGGCTCAGCCCCACAGTACCACCGCTCGTGCACCAGCACGCAGCTGCCCAGAGCCACCCTGGGCCCGGGGGCTCCCTGAGGAGGTGCCTGGACCCTCGCTCACCTCAGCAGCTCCTCCAGTTCCCTCTTCACTGCCCCCACCACCGGCGGCCCGTGGTACACAAGTGCCGTGTACATCTGCACAAGCGAGGCTCCAGCACGGATCTTCTCCAGGGCATCGCGTCCGCTGCTCACCCCACCCACCCCGATGATGGGCACCTGGCCTGTGGGCAGGTGCAGGGTCAGGAGAGCACGGGCGACGCCAGCCCGCACCCCCAAGCCCTGCTCTGTCCCTACCTCGGGTGAGGGAGTACATCTCCTTGATGGTCCGCGTGGACAGCTCCCGCAGAGGCTTCCCGCTGAGGCCCCCGGGCTCTGTGCGCTGCCTGCTCTGGAGGCTGCTGGGGCGGCTCACGGTGGTGTTGCTGATAATCAGCCCGTCCACACCTAGCTGAGGGGGGCAGCAGCAGGAGGACACAGCTGCCATGAGCAGCCCCTGACTCTCATCCCCAGGCTGCCAGGCCAGGACTGTCCCCGGCAACTGCCCCAGCAATGTGCCCGGGAACAAAAGCAGCTGCCCCTCACTACCTGGACCATCCCCAAGGTCCCAGTGACACACACAGGCCCTCACGGACTCAGAGCTACCCAGGGCACTGTCCCTACAGCAGCCAGAAGGCTGCAGGTCCACCTGTCCCTTCAGGGAGGTGACTTGCCAGGAGCACTGCAGTCCAGCCCCACACTGTGTGAGGTGAGGCAGGAGGCACACCAGCCCAGCATCTCGCCAACCTCTCCTTTCAGCCTCCTCACCTCACAGATGACACTAGCAATGTCCTGCTTGTCCTGCGCGGTGAGGTCAGGAGCAATCTTCACCAGCACGGCTGGTTTGTGCTCACAGGGCAGCGCATCCCTCTCCACCAGCACCTGTGGGGTGCACAGAGCCCAGAGCCATGCATGGTGGGGGAACACCTCCTGCCCTGGACTGGGGAGACGTGTGCACCCACTGC